TAAATAACATATAGAAAACTTACAGTTAGGCCATCAGCTTGGGGGTTTGGTCAGTATCAAATCGGGGCATAAATGATTATAGTGCGCATGCGCAAGGTATGCCGCCCCTAGAGTGGCGACAAGCATTTTGATGGACATTTTGAAAAAAGGGTGATAACACCTAAAAAGCTGTCACCGCTGCAATGCTATCACATATTTTCCAACTCTGGAGGTGGATACCTTGCCAAAAATCGCTATGACGATTATTCCCCTCATTTAATACTGGTGGCCAAAATTTTGGACCGAGGCTGATGGCCTAAGTTGGAACACATTACACAAGGAAACTTAGATGTAAAACGATTTCATTCATGACGTCTTGAAAGCTGACCGAAAGCTAAGTGCAGACACTATTTGGAAAGCTTCCGTCAACAATGTGACTTCATAGACGCCTGACCATTCAGATTGCTGTATGCTAATGAGCGGACACTTATTTGGCACCGGACATTTTTTGGCTCGAGACCAGGTCTCAACAAGCACGGCCAGGCAAATAAGGCGTCTTCACGCTGCACTTGCAAAAGGGTTACAGTAGTCTTTCGATTTTTTTTTACCCTGGTAGAGCCTCCCGGCCCAACACCAAACTAATTGCATTCCATGGACAGCTATAAAAAAAATGTACCGTTTCCATTTCAAATGAGTCAAATAACATGCTATTTTAAAACATGCTTGATTGGTGTTTCTTTTTGTATTGCTCTGTAAGAAATAAAAAAGATCATTTATCCTGGTCACTTTCTTTTTTACTCGACCTGTAGATTAAAAAAAGAATGGCGGATTTTATCCTGGCGATTTTTGTGTCTGTTGCGCTTTCAATTCCCGAGGCATAGTAGAAAAAAACATGTTTGTACTTTTGAAAACAAAGAAATTTAATTTGAAGCAAAACAAAGACCCGGACCTAGTCTCCATCTGTTGATAGCTTGAAGGTGTGTTGAGCAATTATGTGAATTATAATATAATGATGAATTAGGCTTTTTTTCCTGCTTTCTTACAATCCAAAAGTCATGAAGGCGCAGCATAAACGTGAACCCTTCTTTCCAAATGCCGAATGTTGACAGTACGTATAATAGCAAGAAGCAAACTGTCAGTAAAGAGACTATTTCTGAAGTCACTGATCAAAAATAATTGAATAAATCAGGCGTCAAAAAGGTGTGGAATTTGTTTTCATATAATGGTTGAGTTTGTTCTACAGGTCCCAAATATCGGCATTGTTGAATTAGAGGAAAGTATTGTTGTTTACAGCATGAAGTATATTTCGATCAATGTTTCTATTTTAAGAATCGAGTATATAAGATTTAAATAGTCCTTCCCGAGACACACTGTTGCATACAACTTAGAGGTCAAATCTAGGTAACCATGAACAATTATCGGGCTGAGAAAGAGTTGCTTTTTTATTATTTAACAAAAACTAATAAAATTGTATATATTTATATATCTTTTACTTTTTATTACTTTTTTTTCTGAGGAGGGGAAGGGCTGGAAAGTTTACAAATTTCTTATTTCGCTAACACCATACCGTGCTTTTCAACACCATACCGTGTCAACGTTAGAAGTCGCCGTCCCCCAAGATTCACTCATGCAAATAACAGGATAAAATTAATACCTTTATTGAATATTAATGATCTGCGCGGGCGTGCCAGAGGGATAGTAGTTGGCGTCGGGGAGTCGCCTACTGACGCACACCATTCCGGGAAACAAAAAATCGAGAAACACATTTTCAAATGAAAGTGAACTAAAAGTGCGGGAGACATTTGGTTACCATATGTTCTTTTGTTATTCATTAAGCCAGTAATTTGTCACGATTTTTACGCATAACAACTTTGTGTGGATCATGGACACGCCACTGTAAATGTGACGCGACAGTAAACGTGCGGAATTAAGACACCCCGACCACACCCCAAAAAACAATTTCCACGTACAAACTGAAGGACACAATGTGAAAACTGTGTTCAGCAATGAAACACTCTTCTAAACATTTTCTTGCTGTCACTTTAAATACTAAACCTGTTGAAATATTGATGGATAGTGTTTAGCGTTACTGAACATAAATTGGACACGTAATGTTTAGCTTCTAAACATGTTCACAACGTGATAGTAAGATTCTGTATTTGGGGGGTAACTATTTGTTTTCACTAGTAGTACACAAATTACTTCTGTTCCATGAAGATCAGGTTCGTCTAATTGAAGTGAACTGTAAACAGGATTTGATTTTCGTTTCTTAATTTAACTGCACGCTGTAGAGTAAACACAGGAACGCGGATTGAAACCTCGGGGTAGGAGGCATGAACATATTATTAAACAGTTTTCATATTTTTGAAAACAAACAATTTATTTTTGTTGCGCAGTAAAAACACCTGTAACTATAGTCCGATCTGTTGGTGGCATGAAAATGTCTGTGAATAAAATTGAAACTGTGAACTAGGAGTTTTCTGCTTTTCTTAAAAACACAAAGTCCTGCAGGCGGAGCATAAAGGTATACCTGAAGCATAGTTTCTAACTGCCGACTGCTGACAGTACGTATGAGGGTAATACGTTAACGGTCGGGGAAGAGACATTTTCGAAAGTCTTTTCTCCAAAAAATGAAGAACAACATGAGGTCCTAATGGCGTTGACATGTTAACATCATATCAAAATGGTGGTTTTATTTCGGCTGGTCCTAGAAGGCCAGCCGTAATAAAAAAAAAACCTTTCTGTCTGACTGGCTTACTAACTGACTGACTGACTCCCCCCCCCCCCCGACGCTGACTGACTTATTGACTGGTTGACTGACTGAGTGTCACTCAGACTGGTAGTAGCCTTGTGAAGATGGGTTAATTCCGGTCTATAGTGTAGATTATAGGGTGGTTATAGGTCTTTCTTTTGTTTGTAAACATTGCCGCCATTTTGAATGGGCTGCCGTAAGCGCATAAATTGAAGCCGGGGTTGGCAACATATTTTTACAAATAAGTCCTCATAACGCCATCAACACAAAGTAAAAAGGCATGTGTAGGAATTATTTTGTAGCTTCGTTGAAAATGTTGTATTTTCAAGTATCAAATAATATTTTGATGATCTGTAATAACTCTTCTTCATTTTTGCAGTGTTGGACCTTCCATAGTTTTGCAGGCCGTGGTTGGCAAAATGCAGTTTGCCAACCAAGCGCAGAAAGGTCTACAACTACTGTCGCTCAGTAGATATTTAGTTCTGATAAGAACGTTCCTGTTTTAAGTTCTAATATAACTTGTCTTTGGTCTCAATGTTTCGACTAGCCAGCTCCAGTCATCGTCAGGAGACGTCATGAGACTTAGCGTAGATTACAAGCATGTAAAACCTTGCATGGAATAGTCCTAGCCATTGTGAATCAATTCAACAGACTACATGTATGAAAAGACTTCCAATGAATAGTCCTAGCCATTGTGAATCAAATCAACAGACTACATGTATAATAATACTTTCAGTGAATCGTCCTAGCCATTGTGAACCAATTCAACAGACTACATGTATAATAATACTTCCAATGAATAGTCCTAGCCATTGTGAATCAAATCAACAGACTACATGTATAATAATACTTCCAATGAATAGTCCTAGCCATTGTGAACCAATTCAACAAACTACATGTATAATAATACTTCCAATGAATAGTCCTAGCCATTGTGAATCAAATCAACAGACTACAAGCATGAGAATACTTCCAGTGAATAGTCCTAGCCACTGCGAATCAATTGAACAGACTACAGGGATGAAAATACTTACAGGGAATAGTCCTAGCCATTGTGAGTCAATTGAACAGACTACATGCATGAAAAGACTCCCAGCGAATAGTCCTAGCCATTGTGAATCAATTCAACAGACTACATGTATGCAAAGACTTCCAGTGAATAGTCCTAGCCATTGTGAATCAATTGAACAGACTACATGCATGAAAATACTTTCAGTGAATAGTCCTAGCCATTGTGAATCAATTCGAAAGATTACATGTATGAAAACACTCCGTGTGAATAGTCCTAGCCATTGGCAATCAATTGAACATAATTATATGCACTCTAGGACCAGCGTACAAGGTTTGCCTTGTCTTGTTGGCGGGTGTAACATTTCTAACATCTCAACTGATACTTAGTTTTGATATATTTTACTTAAAGTGAGCTTATTCTATTGCAAATATCGATGGATTTCTTTGTCAAAAGGAAAAGAGGGAAAATGGCAAAATCAATGGAACTAAAACGAGGGGCGGGGGCTTTAGTGTACTCAAAGCATGCCAGAACTCGACGCATATCGCCGATCTAATCCGTGGTAATTTTGTTTAGCTTTGTTTAACCCCTTCTTTGTTTGGTGAGGAGGGGGAGGGTGGTAATATAGACTTTGATTGGTTTTGGAGGATCTAACTCCTAACAAAAAGAAGTCGCCTGGAAAATAAATTGATAATAAAAACAATTGAATAAGAAAACAATTTAAAACAAAAGCGGTGTTCAAATGAAAAGTAGCAATGACATATATGTTGGAGAATATAAGTATTTACAGTGGAATCGAAGACAAGTAAATATTCTATACGGTTCTTTCAGTGAACACTTTCGAAGCGTTCGTCGTGGGTGCTTGAGGAGTTTTGTTTAAGTTTTGAACGAGTTTATGTGTGAAGAAATGCGAGAGTTATCTAAATTGTTAAATTGTATTGCCATTCTAATTTAAAAGAAACTTCTCCGTATTGATCAATGTAAATGCACCTGACAACCAGTTTGAATTCTATATGGTCTTGTGTATGAAACTCACTAATCGCTGAAAAAAATACTGACCAATCATGGTACTAGCAGAGGAAGACGTGATACGTATTTTCCAGTGATACAAGTCATGTTAAACAATTATTTTGTTCACGGGAAATGTGGCCCTGGCTACACCTCCAACCTTCATTGGTCAATTAAAATATTCCACGTGACTCTCGACGCCCATGAGACCTAACAGATGTCAGTGAGCAGTGCTACCAAACTGGGACCAATCAAGGGTTTATAAGCGGTGCCTCTCATCTCTTAGCATCACTCTGCAACTGCATTTTGGCTTGTGACACTCAGTGGAAAGAAGACAACTTGTAAACAACATGGCTGTCATTCGAGTCGTGTGCTTCGTCCTGTTTGTTGGTTTGGCCGCGGCATGTCAACCACGCTGCCCCAAGTGTCCACCGATGTGGACTTTCTACAACGGCAACTGCTACCGTTTGTTTGGCGCTGGCAAGCCCTACGCTGAAGCTGAAAAGCACTGCCAGGAGTTCTCTCAAGTCGGCCAGGGTCACGTGGCGTCCGTAGCCAGTGCCGAGGAGAACAATCTGCTCTTCGCGATGTTTACGTCGGCCAGTGGGAGAAACAACGGCCTGTGGATCGGCTTCACTGACGATGCAGAGGAAGGGAACTTCGTCTGGGCAGATGGATCAGCGGTCAGCTACACCGACTGGAACACTGGCGAACCCAACAACGCCAGCGGTAATGAGCACTGCACTCTCTTGAGGACCGTTGGTAATTGGAATGATGGCAACTGCAACAGGGCACTGGCCTACGTGTGCAAGATGACCACTACAAAGTAAATCGGCCCAACAATGAACGAGCACGGAGATGCGCAAGAACATATGCTACACCAAACCTGAAGCCCTCACAATCAATACCAAGTCGATTTCATCGGCCATGATCATCAAACAGTCTTACAAAACGGACATGTCAGCACCAACTATGTAGTATTACTTCAAAACTAAATGGTTGAATTTCATTGTGTAGACTGCTGGCCGGCTACACGCTAAAAATGAAACCGTTTCCATAAACCACTTCGCATCTTCGTGGCTTCAACGTTTACGGACCTGCATGCTTTCAAATTTGACATTTAGTAATTAGTCCTTGCTCGTTTTACCAGGTGTCCAGTTAAATAGTGAGAAGTATGGACGAAGGACATACGCATCGGTGAACTAATCAGTTGGAGTCACAAACTATATCACTTCATAACTCAACGGTTGAATTTTCACTATGTAGACTGCTGGCCGGCTACACGCTGAAAAAGAAATCGTTTTCATAACGCAATTTTCTTCATCATGGCTTCCACGTTACGAACCTGCCTGCTTTCAAGTTTAACATTTAGTATTTAGCCTTTGCTCGTTTTACCAGGTGTCCAGTTTAATAGTGAGAAGTATTGACGAAGATCATACGCATCGGTGAACTAGTCAGCTGGAGTCACAAACAATATCACTTCAAAACTAAACGGTTGAATTTTCACTATGTAGACTGCTGGCCGGCTACACGTTGAAAAAGAAATCGTTTTCATAACGCACTTAGCATCATCGTGGCTTCAACATTACAAACCTGCCGGCTTTCAAGTTTAACATTTAGTTTTTAGCCTTTGCTCTTTTTATCAGGTGTCCAGTTTAATATTGAGAGGTATGGATGAAGGTCATATAATCATCGTCGAACCAATCGAGCTGTTGTTCTGAAAGGTATGGTAGATCATTTGTCATTTGCGCATCTGTTTTGGTTTGAAGCAACAAAAATGAGTCATGTTTTAAATGGCGCCCGAAATCACCATTCGGGACACGCTTGCGTGTACCCATTCATTGATTTGCCGAATTACAAGCCAACTACTAATGGACATTTCCAAAACAGCGTCACTCACGCAACTTTGGAAATGGCCTTTTTTTATTGTTTTGTTCAAAATGGTAGCATATACCAGAAAGAGTAATTTCACAGGGTTAAGTGCTTTTACTATCTTTAAAAATGATTTCGTCAATTACTTTTTGAACAGCTGCACAATTCTCTACTCTACTTTTAAGCCGCACAGCTTAACACCAATGGCATTATCTTTAAATTGTTCAATTCAAAATCCGATTTCTTCCGTTACAGACTCCGACAGAAATGGCAAGCTGACTTTACTGGACACTTTATTTTAATTCAATTCATTTTCATTTGAATTTTTTTTCAAGATTGCTTTTTCCCATTTAATGTTCAATGTCTATTTAACGTATTGGTAGAGGGAATTTATTTTAAGTCAACTTTGCCGTCAAAGTGTAAGAAAACTCAAAAACTCACACGTTGAAGGACTGTTAAAAACAAATTGCTTACGTAAAATAAAACGAATCTGGATACTTTTAAATGACAAAGACTATTACAGTTAACCTTTTGAAACGAGATTTACAATGATTGATCTCAGTTTTCGGTGCTTTACGTTCCCACCAACAATTTTCCTTAAAACGATGATAGAAAATGTTGAATTAGATTCGTTAAATTTGAGATTATAAAATTCACATTTTTTTTTCATCGTTATCCACGATTGCAGTCTCTCAAACAGTTTCAACGTGTTTTATCTTAATTAATTTATGTGTAATTTGCTTCCTTGTTATTACTTATGTTTGTTTATTTTTGTTTATTTTTGATCATTTCCTTTTTTCGTTGATTTTCGTTTATTCCTTAATTATCGTAGATTAAAAAATGTCGCATGAAAGTTGTTGTTTGGAGTGTATTTATATATTTTGAATCAAAAATAGTTATCATTCAGCTTACTTTACAATTTACATTTTTCTTGGAAGAGAGACTCCGTTGGTGAACAAAACGATAACCGCACAGTAGAAGCCAAAGCCAAACTGCTAGTAATATTCATTAGGTGCCTTGCTAAACGAAACCTTTCTTTCCCGTCTCACCCCAGGCTTTACTCTGACCCTATCTCAATTATAAACTCTAGGACCTTTACGACGCATATTGCTTTGATTAGCCGCTAGTATGTTTATTGTGTGCTTAGTGGTTTAAATTGTCAACTTATATATCGTGTTGATAGTCATTCGTATGCTCATTTTTGCGTTTTTAATCTTCACACATTTTTATTAAGAACTGATGTCAATGGCCGCTGCAGCATTTTGAAGCACATTCTGTCCCTCTTTCAAAACATTTCGCTTAGGATTAAAGACGTCCCGCCCTACAGATTTCAATTTCTTTCCCCCTTCTTTTAAGCGCTTTGGAAGTATTTTCAGGTGTTTGAAGCTTTGGGAATAATCTTTACGTGAAATCTAGACAGCGCCCTCACACTTTACAAAATTGGTGCCCATGCTTAAACCACCCAAAACCTGGCGACACGCCAATGGCTGGACACGGGAGAAGCGTGTCTTCGAAATGAAGATTGGAGTATCATCACCTGCCAACAGCGTACAAATATGAATGCTCGGTCGCTGGTTTCATTGGATTCTAACTTCTTAGCAACGTGTATACGCTGAGATTGTGTGACGTCACCTCCTCGGGTCATCAGGCTCACTTGCTCGACAGCGGTTCACGTGCATTCCGTAAAGACAAATTTCACATACCTTAAACACACAAGACCAATTGTACATCCTATTGTATGAGACATTTTCACAAATTATTACATAAAAATGGTTCCGCTTTTCTGCTATGGTCATCTCGTGTATGGCGACAGTTGTGCTATAATTCGATTCAAATGCAGTCAATTTCAATAAAGGTCACACTGAGTCAACCGAAACCGACCGGCACCCAGAGCACAGCCTGGAACTTGAAGTGAAGGTTATCAACAGAACCCACATAGTGCTGTAACTAGGTTCCAAACATAGTAGGCGGCCTATGGATGACAAGAAAGCGAGACTCGAATGATTTTTTTGAGATATATGAATGGGTCGGAAACATGAATATGAGAACAAAAATTTTAATACATTTCAAATGGACTGAAAGTTTTGAAATTCTTTGCCAGAGTTTAGCTTTGATACCTTCACGATGAAAATGTCTCTTAAAAAAGTGTCTCTTAGAGGTAATGTTTTTAATGCAATCCTTGAAAAATGAAACTTTGTGACCCATTTAAACTTATGTTCAATTTTTTGTGCAGTTTTAAAGGTGTATTTCGTGCCTTTCTTTATGTTTTTATGCTAAATAAAATGTCCATACATTCATGAGCAAAACTGTGATGTCATTCCGGGCAGAAACTACAGTGCTACGGCTATTTTAGCAAAAACGATTGCTATTTGTAAAAAAAATTTGTCATAACTTTTTTGTTCTTTTGGTAATTCGTTATTGGGTAAATACATGGCAGTAAGCTAATGATCAACCCTTTCTCACAAGCTTTTTCAATGGGAAACTTTTGGGTTAACCCCTAAGGGTGCAGTGAACTAATTCAAGTGAAAATTTCTACGCCAGCTGATTAGCGTAAACAGTGCCCCCACAATTTCTTTTTTTTTAAAGGAGACCGTTTGGCTTTAAAAACGGAGCAATTGTGTAAAAATAGCCAAGGAACAACTCCCTGGTTTTGGGGCTTCCGTCTGAGGGCAGGCTAGATACAACTATGGTTGAAAATGGATCCTATTTGTAAAATGGCTACATGCAGCCGTTGGAACTACCACTTCTCGGGAGGTGATTTTGTCTTTGTGTGAATATTTAAAAATGTAATCCGCTAGTCCACCAAAAATTAAAAAGAAATAAAAACATGAAGGACAAGACAATAATTTACACCCCCAGTAACATCGGCTTGCGTGTTATTTGGCCCTGGACTCTGTTTACACTGTTTTCAATGTGGCTTGAATTGGTTCAGTGCACCCCTAAACTGAACAGTGTATTCCTGGAATGAAATCACTGCAACAGCACCCTCAGTCGTCGGGAGAGCATGGATTTAAAAAAAATATTTAATGAAGTGCACTTTCAATAATGCAAATAAATTCCTATCCTATAAGTGAACTCAAATAATTTCCATACATTTAATCCAAAAAGGGACTGGGTTATTTTGACCATCTCTCAGCCGGGGGGGGGGGGGGGTGTTGCGGATTCCGCACCCCCCCCCCTAAGATCTCGGCCATCGATTAGGGAAAAATTTGAAACTCGATACATGCATAGAGCAACTCTTCATGAACATACCGAAGAAATTTCATGACCAAGGGTCACAGGGTTTGGAATTATGGCCAATTAATTATTCATATGTATGAATGGCAATTCTGGTCTGTGTACACGACGTATAAATTATGGGAAAATTCAGTTTTAAAAAATTCGCTGCGCAACAACCCCTCGTCCGATTTTTATGTTTTTGGTGTCAAAAGATGCGCAAGGCTCGAGGCTAAAAAGTCCTAAAGGCTCAGGCCCCTCGGCCCCTTTAGGGTTAAGAGGAGTAGAACATTTCACAGTGTGTTCTGCGATATTAAAACTGAGATAAGAGTGTAAAGGAGAGTGATACATTACATCGTCAAAACCACAGACACTACGACTTTGAAACTATTAGAAATGGAAAGAATAAGCTCGACCAGTTTGTCTGGAAATGCTCCAATCCTTACAAGTCATGTATCGAGTAGGGTTGTTTTGCGAAGGAAATAATATAGTTTAGTTAGAAATGTTGGACTTTTTAATTGTGTTTGCAAAGTTACCAAGTACGTTTGATACATTTTGATTTATTTTCCATGAAAGACACAAAAATTGGCTGTTATATAAGACTGCCCTCAATTTACAATGTCATAAGTATGATTTTGTCCTTTAATCGCAGCCTTAAATTGTTTGCCTTTGAACAATCAAATATCACAAAAGGGACTATTCTTGCGTCTCTGCTATTTCTTAGTCTAACCTTAAACGTGTACCTCAAAACTATGAGTTGATATTTCAATAGGTTATGAAATTAATCAACAGTTTTGGGGATTTCCTCATCAATTTCATGGCCGGTGTTCGGTTGTTGAGACGTGTAACTGTATTTAGCCAGATGTTTTTCTCCGGGGTCGATTGCCACGAAGAACCCCTGCTCTGCCAGGGCCAACCCAGTGTAGATGTGGTCTGTCTTGATCTCCCTGACAGACGTGCTAGAGCCGCCCGGTCCCAAGATCAAGATGCCACCAAGCACGGCAATGATGAGGGCGCCCTCAGGCGTCGAGACCAGTGCCAGCTGGTTGCTCCGGGCAGGTGAATCCCGGAAGACAATCTCGCCGGAACTCTCCGGAGAAGAGCGGATCAGCTGGAACGGCTCGGAATGCGTGGCTACCAGGATGTCTCCCGTTGCACGGTCCACACAGACGTTGCTCATGCCGGGTGCCAGGGAGCCATCTGGGAGTTGTATGCGGTGGCGGGTGGCACCAGTCTGAGCACCGTAGACGAACAGGGTCTGCGTTTGGCTGTCACCGACGATCACGTTCCCAGTTGTTGACACGGTAAGATTAGCCGGCTTCTCATTGTCACTTACGCACGGCCATCTGAAAAGAGAATCATTGTGTGCCACTGCTAGTAAAATGTGCATATTCCAATTCGTGCAAATTCGAAATCCGTTGCCTTTTGGTTCGGATTTGTTGCTCTTATAGTTATGTATTATGGTATGATTCATAGTAGGTCTTATCTTGTGTTTTAAAGAAAATATTCAACATGTAATATGCTTTTCCTGAAATTTAAAAAAATGCATGGATTTTGGGGGTCAGTATTTTTTTAGCAAACATTGTTACACTTTGGTCGTAGCTGCTGGGGAAAAACAATCATGTTCTTTAAGTCTGGTTTCCTGACCCCACTTAGGATGAAACATAGCAATTTTTGGACATTGTAAAGTTAGGAAACCAGTCTAGCTGGCTTGTACCAGTTCATTGGTGTGTAATCGATTGCCAACAGATATTTAATTAGTCGGCAGCTCACTCAATATGGACACTGGGGAAAGTTTTTGAAGAAAAGCCATTTTTTTCCAACACTGAGCGGCTGACCAGCGTTGGAAATTGATACAAAAATACCACTTTTCCTTGAAAATGACAGCACAACAGGTGCCACAATTTACAGGATGCGTTAGACTTTCATTCACTAAATATCCAGTAAGGTATTTCGTAATAATTTAGTAGTTTTGAGTTTTGATATTTGCAAATGTTGTAAATTCCTTTAACATGAAATGAACCTTGAATATTCAATTGAACGTTTGAAAAGTTCAACATTGGATGTTTGCCTGTTTATGATTCATGACCATAGTCGTAGCCAGCGGGGGAAGGCGGGGGATAGGGGGGTATTTACCCCCCCCCCCAATATTTTGTAAAGACTGCCTTTTTCCATTCAAATGACCTTTTGTCCACAGGCTTAACCCCCCCCCATTAATTTTTAAATAGTGCCCCTTTTTACGAAGTGCCCTTTTTCTTCTGAACAAGTGCTTTTTTCAAAAAGAAGTGGTGCCCTTTTTTTTAGGCATCTGCCGTTTTTGGTGCCTTTTTCAGAATTCCGCACATGTATCGACCTGAAAAGCACCATATAATATTGGCCCTTTGTGTGCCCTTTGTGTGCATAATTGTCGGTTTTGAACAGCGCCCCCATCGACAGATGTTCAGAACCCCCACCCCCGGTTTTTTTTTTTAATTTTACGGAGGCCAAGTGTCCGGAGAAAAACACATGTCTACATTTCACAACGGATGTGCAAGTGCCCTTTTCAAAAAAAATGTCTTTCCCAATAAAAATGACCGTGCTACGCCCCTGATGACGGGGTAGGAAGTTGGGGGAAATATGAATAAGGAAAATTTTTTAAAATACATTTTCTTACAAGTTTGAGTATAAATGGATAGATTTTTTGGGGAAAAAAGTGTGATTTGAAAGTCTTTGCCTCGGACATAAGTACTTATTACTGTAATATATCTACGGTAACACAGTGAATCTTATCCCCCCACCAAAAAGAAAGGTTTTCGCCTCACCTTAACTCCTCCTCTCCCTCTGTGCTGCAGGTAATAACACACTTGGAATTGGGAACCAGCAACAAGAGTTTCCCCTCCGAGTTGACTGCTATTTGCAGAGTCCTGCGTTGACAGATGCTGATGGCGCCTTCAGGCATGGAAGAGCCGTCGGTTTTCAGCCGGTGAATGCAGCCATTCTTCCCGTCTGCCACGTACACGATGTTCCTGTAGAATTTCACAAAAGGGCAATTCCGTAAATTCCAGCTCTTTTTATGCGTCCGATCACATGATTTTAGAAGGTCGTAAAGGTGGTAGTGCAATTGTTTGGTCTATAATTGTTTTCTCTACTTTACATGTCACATATTAGTAATGTATAGCATTCACACTACCAACATAAGCTCATTAAACTGCCTGATATTTAAGTCCAAATGTACGAAAGGCAAACATATTGAAATGATATAAGTCTTACAGTAAGAATTTTTATACTTTCTAATAAATTATAGACGGTTTCATAACAGTTTAATATTGGATGACTAAACTGCAAGGCCCGGTACGGTGCATGGTATCTACACGACGCGCAAGTGCCGAATCACAACCAGACATTTGGGGAAGTCGTTTATCCTTGTGTAGCTGATCCGTGTTCAATCTAACACGGCTTTCTTTGCAGTGTTCTAAAACAAGTTCGGGAAAAATACAAAAAGATTTTCCACTAACTTTGTTTTTAACAGTGCCCACAAAATGTATTGTCGAGTGATTTCTAATAACGTCCAGGTTCATTAACAACTGGTTTTCTATAGATCCTGAATCTAGCAATTGACATGATTTTGACCCCGTCAAAAGGTCCTCCAGAACACAATTTTTTTTGCGAGTGCAGATATACTGTCGTGGTTCCCAATGTGGTTATTCCATTCAAGTGATCAGTAATGGCAAAGCCTCAAAGAAAAGTCATCATGCGTTTATCAAAAATTATAAAAATGTTTCATTACTCCCCGCCCCGACCCGAAGGCAAACCCCAAACACACCTGCTCCTGTCGACGGCCAGTCCTGATGGGGCTTTATAACCCCCTGGGGGGTCTACAAACGGCAGGCTGTCCTGGACGACGACCACAAGCGACATCCCAGGCATCAAACTGTGGCCACATATCTTAATTTGCATGATGTGAGGCTCTGTACATCGAGGCGTGAACGCTACAGTGTAGCTGAATGAGGAAAGCAAAAAATACGGCTGGTAATTCCTAGTACCATACAGTACACAACTCACGAAAGAGACACAAGGTGCTACCGCAAAACATCCTGCCATGCGGACCTTCAAATTTTTGATAAACACCTCGTTTTGTGTTTCGAACACAAAATCGTTTCCAGCGAAGCCATGCGTTTATTAAAAAAAGACGTTAGAATGATTGACCAAGAAAAAAAACCCTCCAAAACTTGCGGTTTCCCTGGCATGACAACTACTAGCGATTACAAGTTCGGGACACAAATTTGCAAATATGTATTATCTCATGCCAAAAATGGAATACAGTCACGATAACGTTAACGGTTGTACTAGAAGAGGCAGAGAAAAAGTATAAAGAAGGTAAACTAAAGGTTCAGTCTGTATTTAACGCAAAAGTCATTTCAATGAGATCCATTGCTGGCAGTTGAAGTAAATTTATACTTCTTTATATTATTATCTTTCTAAATATCCCTTACACTGTAAAACCTGATATTTTAACGCTTTCTTGTCAAAGTTTAAATCACTTTAACATGTTTAAGGGACGGGTGTTCATTTCCCTGAAATGCCCAGGTGAATATTTTAGCCAGATTCAAAACAGTATTATAGACATTCAACATTGTAAACACCTCGTGTATGGTTCTGTTGCTAAAAAAAAACCCTACCATATTTTACGTGTAAAACACGAGATACATGTTAAAGACCATGGGTCAAGTTTAATAATTGTTTACAAAATAAACGAATTCTTAATCTTTTTTCCCATTATGTCAAATTTCAACTCAAAGAAACCTCAAAGTTGCATCTTTTTAAGGCTTCGTTTGTGATAAATGCAATTACTAATTACGCTGAATCTTGCTAACAAAATAATGGGCATTTTAATATAAAAAACATCCTTCCCCTTAAACCTATTAAATTTTGATTGTTTGTTTAACTGTTACAAAAAAGTATTGATAAATGAAACACCGGGTTTGACAGTGTACATCTAGCTTCTAACCTGCCGTCCTGGTTATCAGTGACGTCTGCCCTTTGCGGTCTCTCTTGGAAGCTTGACGTTGTTAGGGTTGCCGTGACGTCATAGCCCCCGGTGGTCAACCGTTTCTTCTGATAATCCTGGGTCAGGAGGGTCATTGAGTACGGCATGTCCAGGACTGCCGTCAGCTGCGGGGACTTGCCCATCGCGGGTGAGGAGACGAGTGTTGAGTCGGGGTGTAGAGGGTTGATGTTGATGAGGCAGGGACTTCTAGGGATTGGTGTACCGTCCACGGTGATGGTCATGAATAGCTTCCCAGCAGCTGGCGGGGTGTAGACAATTCGGAAGGTTCCTGGATATTCTGTCTGTTGTATCGATGCTTGGGATTCACGATCGGCGGACTGGTCCATCACATCATCCGTATAAGGGCTTGCTCCTGATTGAGTGTGATCGCAGTCAGGCATGACGTACCGTGCACACAGGCTGCCGAGTTGAGGTCGGAGGGACTCGGGGCCGAATAGTTTGACGATTACGGTGTGCTCGACTCCGGCGAAAGCGTCGGTCCAGGTAACGTCACTGGACAGGACTTGTTTGTCAGAGCTCATGGGGCTGGGGTTTTGAGCCGCTGGCGAAGACTGATTTTCAATAACGTCGACTTTGAACGGGCTGCCTTCAATTGGCACACCAGATGCGCTGATGTTCAGCTGGTGCAAGCCAACCACAAGGGGTTGGAACTCCAACTCGAAGAAGTCACCGCATTGCTCGCCGCCCTTGCACTCTACGCTACTGCCGTCCGGTGACTGCGAGTAGGCATGTAACGCCCCTTTGAGACGATCTAAGGATGGTTGAGATGGATCTTCAGGGCGAATACGGACTATGTGTGTAGATTTGACAGCCAAGGTTGGCCCTGTGCCCCCAGGAAAATCCACCTGGAAGTTTGGGGTTAGCGCTGGGACCGTGATAGATGTGTTGATCTGTCCTAGGCTTGGAATAAGTCTCTCAATTTCAGACAAGACCCTGTTGTGGTCTTCAGTGAAGGAAAGGAAGGCCTCATTTGCTGGATGAAAAGGTATTGCCTTGTGGACATCGAGATCGATGAGCTCGTGCAGCCTTGAGATGATCTGCGCTCTGGTCTTGAGCAGATCGACGTGGTTGCCGATGTCACAGGCTCTCTCAGCGAACTGGCAGGCCGAGTCGAACTGGGAAGCTAGCGACTCGGCAATGTTGGTTGGATGCTTGAGTTGATCTGCTCGGTCTACACACAATTTCCTCAAATCGGCGATGATGGCCTCTCGCCTGGTCTTTAACTGGCTCTGCAGGCGATCGAAAACTGCCTCAACGGTAGACGTCATCTCCTCACACTGGGTACTTGTTTGATTATTCTCGGTGCTAATGCTCCCGGAGATTAATTCAACCAAGACCTTTTTACTTTCAGCCCGCTGAGCGAGGCTGTGCAACTCCTCCCTCGTTTCTGAGGATTTCTGTTCCAAGTCAACGACCCGATGGCCCTGGTGACATGTCGTCACACAAATTATACACATGGCTCGTTGACAGCACTTTTCGTTGCAATAGACAGAGAGCAGTTCGTTCTTGTGTCGGTCGCACTGAAGCTTTTCCCGAGGCAGTGGGATCTCAGGATGCTCCTGTAGCTGCTCCAGCGAAGCGACGGTATGGCTGTTGAATTTACGCATCGTGCGGTGGGCCAGGTTGCAGTTCTGACAGAGGAAGGTGAGACAGGTGTGATCCGAGCAGAAACTTACAGCGGGGCCTCCGTCTGCGACACACGATCCACAGCGGAGGCCGTGAGGCCTGGTCACATCTACAGTAAGCAGGTGCTCCAAGGGCTTCAACCGTCCCACTATGAAATTCTCTGGTAGATTTTGAACGCCGCCCTCCGGAACAGAAAATCCTTGCCGGCAGAGCGGGCATTTTAACTCCAGCCCTCCCCGCACCAGCCCAGCCAGACAGCCCACACAGAACCCGTGCAGGCACGGCAGAAATTTTGGTGCTCTGTCGGTGTTGTCATACCTCTCGTAGCAGAGAGGACAAGTCAGTAAATCTGCAACTTCGCCTCTTACCCCAGTGAGAGAGAGGTGTGCCATCGATTCAGCCATACCGGCCCAGCAAGAAGAAATGTTTGCTGCTAAAGCTAAAAAAAGTGTGATTAGTACACTAAGAAAACCTTGCATGCAGCACAAGCAGTGTACTCGATGAAGTTCACTGCTACATTGCTTCGTAGCGCCACGATTGGTCCGGTCAATTTACATCACAGTAGCCTGACATGCCCTACCTCGATGCACTTCAACAATGAAAAAAAAATCATATTTTTACCTATGAATGAGCGAAACATGGGGTTTTTCCTTTCCTTCCCACCTGAAGGCTCACAATGGGAACACGTTTTCAGACTTTTTTTCAGACTACATTGCATGCTCGATCGAGCTGAGGCAGGGATCCATTTTTGATCAGTTATTTCGGAATGGGCAATACTAGCAGTACAAGGATTTAACCTTGTACTAGAAGTGTACGGCTTGTTGAATGAGATTTTTGTTTAAACTTTTAATTGTTGCATAAGAGGTCCTACTTGTTGCCAGATTCATAACTTTCCCCACAAATTGTGATTTTAACTAAACGTGGACGGCAAGTGAATAACCCTTAAAGCTTAACGATTCTGGCAATATTAAAGTTCCCAAAGCGGCCCCATATAGACCTCATGAAGCTTGAAGCTATTAGGCTATTGCGGTAAAATTGATTTCATTTTCATAGTGAACTGTTCATATTATTAAAGCTGAAGCCCTAACCTTGCTCCACATGTTGATGTACAGAACATTGATTGCAATCATAAACAGTGAGACACGCTGACGTCAGATAAAGATTTACAAAATAACAACATGTAGCAACATGTAGCAAATCTCTTTTATGAGTTTGTGAGGTTCTAAAAGGAAGCAGGGGAAACTCTACGTTTCGGACAGTACCATCTGGCCGTCGTCAGGAAACTCAGGGATATCAGCGTTGAAGAGTTGTGTTACGCTGCAGTGTGAAACGTATAGCAATACATTTCGGCAGAACAAGAATGTTGAAAGTGTAGACCGATTGTGTGGTAAAGGTCAATGCAAGTATCGGTATTCCAAATACAAAGGGCGAGGTCGGAGTTCATTCGGGTTGGCTGATGAATCTGAATGCTATATTCATAGCCCAATTGCACAACCATGACTTGTGGTCTCGTGAGAAGCAGTCTGCGCATGGGCAGTGGTATATTTGTCCTCTGACGTCAGGGTAAATGGCCTAACGAAATCTGTTTCACATGCAATCCGCCATTAGGTTGAGCACATTCCTTTGGTTAAAATATTGCCACATGTTTATTGACAGTTTTTTTGGAGATGTTTACGCGAAAACTGAGACACCAAAACAGAGGATTTACGGCAAAAGTAAATTTAGACGAATGAGCCGTATCGCCACCGGACCCACGGGTTGAGTTTTCGTCGTCCTACTCTAATACACGAGATCCAGTGCAGGCGTATAGGAGAGGATGGCCGGTGCATCACAAAACAACAATGTTCTGAGCCATTTTCAAAGTAAGTGGTGGGTTTGAAACTTCTAATTTTTTTTTTAACGTGGACAGCATCCTGTTCGCGTATTAAATACGAACAACTAGAAAGCACTCAGAGAGCGCACACCTCCGCCAACCGACGAATACATTTTACGATCAAATAAAAACATATCGCACAACTCCATGTAGTTTGTTTAACTTTTAGGGAAAATATTATGCATTCTACATGTAGCGTGCAATATTATTATGATCATAATAGATAAGTGCAAAATGAATTTAGTCTTAAAAAGTCACCGTTTACGTGACATTTTTGACAACCACAGCAGCACATCATCCGTTGGTACTTTGAACGCACACCTTACATCAGCTGGTTACGAGCGCAATTCCGTATTCATCACTATGTCAAATTATGGATTCGTTATTATGACTGATTCGCCACGGGGGGGGGGGGGGGGGGGGGCTCCGAATCTCAAAATCCAGACAAGAATTAAGAATGTTCGCATTAATACTTGAAAAGAGCAACCTTTAAATAACACCAAAAATGACAAAATCTTAAAATCGCCAAAATGGTCGATTCACCGGTTTGTCAGCTCTGCGACGAAATAAATCCGTGTTCCCAAAAATCATCAAACGTTGCCATCGGAACGTTCCTTGTTGGAACACTTGGTGTTCCTAAAAGAACACGCGCTGTTTCCAGTGGGAACAGCGCGTGTTCCCAAAAAGAACAGTCAGTGTTCCCAACGGAACGTTCCGACTTATTAGACGCTCCCTAACACAATTGTCACACAGAGCGACCTGGTGAACGTTTTTCATATGATGGGTGAAAAAAGCCTTTAAACAAAATTCTGCATCCAGACGCAGATCCGGTTCACTTCCAAAATCTAATCGAAAAACACCCCTAACAAAAAATCATGAATATCCGTCCAGAACTTTTTGAGTTATCCTTTTCACAGACAAACGAGCTAACCAACCAACCAACACACACACACAAAGCAACGCCGCGCCGGTGAAAACATTATCTCCTTGGCGGAGGTACAAAAGTCTGAGGACATTCAGTATACTGCAAATTGTATGATGCACTGAACTGTAGACTGATTTTACGACTTGGGATTTCCTCGTTGTAAAAACTGAATTTGTTAGGTATGTGTTCTCTACATTAACGAAGAGAAACATCATATAGGGATCAAAGATCATGAAAACAAAGAACATTATAATCTATTTGTTAGGACATCCAAGTGCACGCCAAATACCGTTTATCTGGTCTTTACAACAACTTAGAATGCAACCGTGTACAAATAAAATCCAAAATGTAGCAAAATATAATTAATACAACCAACCACTATAATTATATTGTCAAAACTGTGAAAAGTTCAAACTCCGAGCACTTGCATCATGTTTTACACAAAATGAAAAGTGGAGTTGGTTCCTTCTTTCGTTAAATGCTTCCCTCCCAGCTTATGTCAATTTTGAATGGAACTGCTAAGCACAGAAAAGTGCTGATTACAGAATGTGACTTGGCTTTCTTCAAACAGGGCTTTGTTAAATGGCTCTGCTAACCGTTAGCGAAAAAAAAATGCCAGCTTACTGTAACAGAAACGTCCGTACTTACGGTAAGCGCATTTCTTTTACGGGTTACGGGGTTATCGTAACATGTTTTCTTCTGCTGGCGCGGAATGTTGTGGTTAGCAGAGACGCAAAATTGGGCCCAGGCAATACACTGCTGGTAAGTGCCTTCCGGCCGATTGTTTTGGGCAATAATTCCCGCTAAGCAGCTCAATTGAAAGTACATTTAGAGCTTAGCAGCTCAATTGAAAGTACATTAATGTGCATTATATTTCGAACGAAATAATACAATTACTCAAAATCTAATGAATGGTGTATAATACTTCTTGCAGTTTCATCTCAGTTGATAATATACACTATGCCCCATTTTGGGGGTCTCGTAACTGGATTCCTTTGCTAACATAAGAACTGCCCGCGGGCACACTTGTTTGAGTGGTGCACCTTCAATGACTGTTTTCTTCCACCTCATACAATTTCATGCGGAACACGTTTACAGAGTATTTTGTACCGGACTTATCTTCACTTTGAGCAAGGATTTTCTCGCAATTATACCCGGAAACACACCTACCGTACATTTCTGTGGATAATTGCAAATGCTCCTATGTGTCTTCATCAATTGGTATATGTTATTGCAGAAAACGTAGAGCTATAGAGATACTGGTTGTCTTCAGGACATATACATCGTGTGATAATTCGCAATACAGGGGTGAGTAAAAACAAACAAGGAAGCCCAAATGTCACGACGATTTTTTGTAGTGAAATTTTGCATATGAAAACCCAATTAATACGCTTCCTTTTAGCATAAGAATCATTCTAATCACTTATGTTCTTTTCAAGTTACGGAATTTTAAACACAAACACCGCTTTGAAGATCTGTCAACAGATCACAACAAAAGGTAAGTGTTCTTTCAGCAAAACGAAAACAATTCACATAGGGAAGCTTTTGTGTCCTAGATTTAATAATAATAATAATTTGGGAGGCTAATCATCCTTACTCGCAGCTGGTATGCCGAATTGCGATGGACGCGGCTACAACGTGGTCAGGCCGCTGGCACGTAAAGGCGACTATGGCTGCCGGCCACATCGACCCATATATGACCACGGAGCATAGCCTGAGATCGAAAGTGTTTGATTTGTTCGGAGGAAGGAAAACCGGAGGGCCCGGAGAAAAACCCTCGTGGCACAGGAGAGAACCAACGCACAACTCTACTCACATGTGATCCGCGGCCAGGATTCGAACCGTGGTCACCTTGGTGAGAGGCGAGTGCTTTACGCACAAACCACCCACAACGTGTTACATGCAGAGCTAAAATAATTGTCGTGACATTTGGGTGTACTGTTTTATTTTGACTCACCCTGTAGAGCTGTGGTAGTATTAGGAATGATTGATAAGATGATGAAAAATCTGTGTGTGTTTATAGAAGAAACCCGGTGCAGTGTTTATGGGATGAACTTACATGTAAAACTATGTAGGAAATTTAACCAAGAAGGCATCAAACAATCCTCTCTTTTTTTTACAAAATAATTATTAATATTAAACTGTATACTATGGCATAAAAATACCCCCTTTCAAGAACATGGACAATGAACTGGGACTTTCCAATAACGCTGGCCAATGATGCATGAATTATATTTTGTTGTCATGTAGGCACGAACACGTACATAGCGATATCGATTATTTAGAAGCTCCTTGTTGTACTATTGTGTTCAGTTGTTGGCAAAAAGCTAGTGAGTGAGTCATACATGTAGGGTTAAAAGCAACTCGTGTGACCTTGTTCTTTTTCCTTTTTCAAAGGTACGTGCTTTGTGAAGAAGTTCAAAAGTTTGTTAACCCGGTTTGCTCTGTTTGTCTCTATGTGTGTATTTTTTCCCTGTTCGTCCATTTTTTTTTAATATCCTGTGGTTGAAAAGTTTGAAAAGTCTTTTCTTTTTACCGTAGAAGTTACCCATCAATGCCTTGTTAATCGCGCCTGTTTCAGAGTCGACAATTAAATACAAATATTC